GCAGGCCAGCCTCCCACAGAAGGGAGTGCCACAGCTTGGCAGCAGAAAAAAAACTGTAAAACCTTTTCTCATGTCCTCACTAACTGCATCATTAAGGGTGACAAGATTTAAAGGAAAGCTTCCCCTGATGGAGCCCAGGCAGGCTCATATACAGTAGATTCAGTCTTTCAGATAGCTCAAACCAATGTCATGGACTTTATACTGTAGGTCAAAAGCAGCACATCTAGAGTAATTGAGTCTTCAAATGGGCTAGTAGTCAGAGGAGCAGTTGGGTGTTACCAACATGCTGGTGGTTTTAGTTGTTATTTTTATACTGTAGGTCAAAAGCAGCACATCTAATTGAGTCTGCAAATGGGCTAGTAGTCAGAGGAGCAGTTCCCATAAAGAAACTACTGTATATATTTCTTGTAAACAGTCCCAGTTAATGCGTACTCTGGTTGCATTTAGATGGAAAGGAAAGACAGAGTTGGGTGTTACCAACATGCTGGTGATTTTTGTTGTTGTTTAGTCGTTAAGTTGTGTCCGACTCTTCATGACCCCATGGACCAGAGCACATCCAGATCTCCTGTCTTCCACTGCCTCCCGGAATTTGGTCAAATGCTGGTGATACCAAATCGCAAACTCTGGACTACCTCTTCCTGTAGTTTCAGGCATATATTAAATAGTATGGGAGAGAAAACCCCCAGAGGGACACCACAAGCCAGCAGCCAAGGTGAAAAAACAGAATTCTCCCACACCACCTTCTGAGCCCTTCCCTCCATGAAGAACCAGAGCTACTATAAAACAGTACCTTCCAAGTCCATTGCAGAGATGACGACCCAGAATTATACCATGGTTGTGGGTATCTAAACTTACTAAGGGGCCCAGAAGAACCAACAAGAGCACACACCCTGTCCAGTTCCAGGCATATACTGTATAATCCACCAAGGCAACAAAAGGAACCTCCGTTACATAACCAGGCCTGAAGCCACATTGAAAGATAGAAATCCAGCTCATTCTATTTCAAGTTTCCAACCAAAATATTTCCTGTTTTATGGTACTTATGAGAACTAAGAATGTCATGTTTTATTTCTAGTATTTGTTGTGGTGTTGGCTTTCTGAATTTTGTTTAGTTTCAGAATGAAAGCTGAAATTCTTAGAAAATAAATTTCTGTGCCACATGCCTGATTCCATGCTCATGTGATACTGCTGTAAAAGTGTAGACACATGGGATAGGGGGTTGATTAGGCAGCACCTAGCATTTATATATGTGTCCTATTTTTGTGGTTTCTGTGTAGTGTGGAGGCTGGGAGGGGAGAGATTCCAAACTTTGAATTATATATGTAATCCAAAATTTGGAAGGCTAGCCCTCCTCCAATACAAAGCCAAACTGGCTCTGTCAAACAGAACGTACGCTATAGGAGTTTCCTGCCATTTTCATAACTGCAAGCATATGAGCTATAGTTCATGCTGAAAAACGATGTAAGAAAGCTGCCAAGAATGATCCAAGTAGTGTTGCCAGTACTGTTTCCTAACCAGTCACAGCTGCTGTTGATCTGACAGCAGCTACCATAGTGTTTGCCTCTCTTTTATGCAGAGCTGGGTTTCCAGAAGGGAAGTAATCCTTTCATAGCCTTTAATCTGCAAATATTAAGGTTGTTTCAGACAGCTAGATTTCATCTTTTTTTCACTCTCAGCACTGGGTTAAAGCACTGGCACTCTAGATTGTTGACAAAATGGCAGCCGAACTGTGGTTGTTTTTCACAGAAATCTGGATTGCAGATGTCTTATTCACATTCACCATTCTTTTTGCTTTTGCTGAAAACTGGCCCAAACATAGTCTGGGGCATCATATGGTGACCCTATACATCCAGAAGTGAAATTTTCTTTGCAGCCTTTTAGTTTTCATGAAATGAATTATGCATATGCAATCGCTAATAGTGACAAGGTAAAAGCAATGGTTACAGGATCCCTCTGCCAAGAGATTAATGACACAATGAATGTATTTTTATTTGGCTTGCAAAACCTTTCAACCTAGTGTGCTACCTCATTTTCATTAGCAGGAGCCAGATTGTATTTCATCACCAGTGGTGTTTGACTTCACAGACTACAGGCTGTCAATTTACACGTTCTTGACATTTGTAGAACTCTTAATGATGTGATCATTGTTAAGCTACTATCCACAAAGTATCCACAAAGACCCACAAAACTCTGGGGTTATACTTTTCTAGATCCTTATGTGATTGTTACTTCAGCTCTCGACCTTCAGAACATTTACTTTTAAGTAGTTGCCTGAACATGTCAAAAGTGAAATGAACTTTCTTACACTCTTGTGTGCATAGCAATGAAGGAGTGGGAATTTTCAGTAGCCATAGTGTTGATAATCATATGAGCAATTAAATAATGTCAAGATTAGTTCTTTTATTGCTTTCCTTTGCTGTTTGCCTCATATCACTCTCATGAAATTGCCTGTACATTCACTGTGACAAGAACACAGAGGACAGACATTTTCAGTCACTGTCAATGGAATCTTTATGTAGATATGTCATTTATAAGTTCCCAGTGCGTAATATCTCTGATAAAAATCACATGTTAAGAAAGTTTTTTCCCCAGCATGTCAAAGTGTGGGAGGGCCTCTAGACTCCTTCCCCTCATGTACCCATGCAGATTACATTGAATTTAGACTAGACCTTAGATTGCATTGAAATTCGTATGGGATTGAGTTTTGGCTAAATGACCTTCAGTGCTTCCCCAGTTCTTGAATGTATTCCATGCAGATCATTGAAACCTTAACTTCTGCAGTCCAGACAGAGAGAATCTATCAGAACTTAGCTTTTTTTCATAGGTGACCTACAAACTATCCAAAAATATATCTGGGATAATTTTCTCTGTCCTTTTCCAAAATTAAAACATAATCCCTCAATTTTCTTTTCTTCTTCTTTCTTCATGAAACAAAATAAGCATATATGCAATATTAACTTGGACACAAGTAACTATTTTGTGCTTCTTTGGAAAGTATTAAAGAATATTATTTATCCATTTGGATTGACGGATTCTTGCCAAGCAAAAGCTTTTACATTTTGCTCCACATAGAGTTGGAACAACATTACAGAATATGACAGCAAGTTTGTTAAAAATACAAAATAAATCATACTGGTCTAATAAATGTGTGTTGGTATGTTCTGCCTGCAATATTAAACTAGTCTGTCACATTAAATAATACAACAGAGACTATCATTTTCCCACTCTGTCACTTCCTTCCATTTATGTGGAATAACTCAACATTTCTACAGTTTTTGGGATGCAAGAATATATTACAATCCATGGCTTCCTAATTAAGTATACAGTATATCACAGAAGTGAGTAGCCCCCTCACATTTCATAAATATTTTAGTATATATTTTCATGTGACAACACTGAAGAAATGACACTTGGCTACAATGTAAAGCAGTGAGTATACAGTTTGTATAACAGTGTAAATGTGCTGTCCCCTCAAAATAACACAACACACAGCCATTAATGTCTAAACCGCTGACAACAAAGTGATGGGTCTCTCTACTTCAGCCCGTAATAAGTAAAGCCTGCTTAATGCATCTTCATTGCTTAATTCTCCCACATGTACATATTAAAAGGTACAGAAAAGCTTCATGTTTAAGGCATTCCTCAGTTTCATGACATTTCCAATATGGCTATCCAGTATGGTGCAGTGGATAGAGTGACAGACTAGGACTCAGGAGACCTGGGTTTGAATCCCTACTTCAAACGAACATTGAAGACTTGGCTCTTCCACCAGCCTTTCCCTGACCATTAAGATCTCGGGGGCCCTTTTACCATATTTTTTGCCATCCTTTTCATCACAATTTTACCACCTTCATTGCCATCTGTCTTAATTTATCTTGCTGCTATGTATTATTTTATTTTCTGTTGTTTTTTTTAATATTGCTGTTTATATTGCTGTTAGCTGGCTGCTAGATGGTGTGGGGTGGATGGTTGGACATTGTCATCAAAGCTACCAACATGAATTTGGCCCAGCTCCGGGAGGCAGTGGAAGACAGGAGGGCCTGGCATGCTCTGGTCCATGGGGTCACAAAGAGTCAGACATGACTTAACGATTAAACAAAAAACAACAACAATAAAGCTTACTGGGAGTTTTAACACCAATCCTTAAGTATTTCACTTACCTTGAAAGCCCTACTAGGGTTGCTGTAAGTCGGAGTCGGACATGACTTAACGATTAAACAAAAAAAAACAACAATAAAGCTTACTGGGAGTTTTAACACCAATCCTTAAGTATTTCACTTACCTTGAAAGCCCTACTAGGGTTGCTGTAAGTCGGTTCTGAAATGATGGCACATAACAACAATTCCAAGCCCTTTCTTAGCATTGTGATTTCAGGCAACAGCAAATCTTCCCAACCTTCAATGTTATTGTTTGCTGACACAGCATTATTTCCTCCTAATTCTAAAGATCCCACTACCGATGGCATTGTCGCTGAAAAGCTGCATAAAGAGAAGCAACTGAGAGCAGTTGTATGTAGAGGTGTAGAATATTTTCCCCAGCACTTTTCGAATACAACTTATCTCTGAAAAACATACTTTTGAAAGGATTGGGCCTACTATCTTAGACTATGATCTAATATACATAAATATTTTTAAAAATTAAACCTGGGACAGGACAAAAGGTAACACCATTAAAGAAACGGGTGACGAGGAAAATATCTGGATGCTTTGAATGAATCTAAGGATGCATTTGCCCAGAAGAATTGTACTTGGGAACTCATGCTTCTAGTCTATATCACTGAATGATAGCAACGAACTAATTTCTAAACTTGTATGATTTTTGTCTTAAGTAATTCTACAGACAGAACAACAGTATCTGCATTCATAAGATTGTGGACTGGTTGCTGATTCTTAGGTTTTTCTTTACAATTTTGTATGTGGAATTATTTTGTGATAGTAATTCCACTAACAACAGTAACAATAGGTTTGTTAGTAATAATATACATGTGTATCTAATTTTAGTGATGAATATGAAGAAGATGGCTTTTGTCAGCCCTACAGAGGAATTGCATGTGCAAGATTTATTGGAAATCGAACCATTTATATGGAATCTCTGCATATGCAGGGTGAAATAGAAAATCAGATTACTGGTAAGTAAGAGTTTTACTTTCTTCTGATTTTGAAAAAGCTAGCATAAGAATGAGAATGATGATTTTTTTTAAAAAAAGATAGAACATAAAAGTAATAATGTATATTCTTGAAATTTTGTTATTTATCTTTACAACTATCAATATGCATATTTATTTGTTTTTAACTTTATAATACGTAATGTAGTGCATGCCAGACACTTTTTGCAGCCAGTACATGATCTTTCCTCTTTCTGCCTC